TGTGTCTTGCATGTTTCGCGTACCTCGATAAAGAATTCCAATACTCATGCGTGTATAATTACTACCTCTCACTGGAATTGTGCGGGGAGTACAGACATTCTGTCTGTAAGTATTGAAAATTTCCCGCCTTCTTTCTGAACAGAGAAAATTAAAAATAAATTACTTAAGCTTTCGATTATGTAAACACAGGATCTAGGAAACGTTATCTTATATATACCATCAGTTCAAATCGTACTCTTTCCTTTAAAATTCCAGTAATGATCGACATGAATATTTAATTAATACAGGATCTTGAGGATACCATAAGTCCATAACTAAACTTTCCAAGAGCGCTTCCTCGCTGAAAAACTATCTGTACGCAAGCTGGTCAAAGGAATGAACAACATTCAGTCAATTATTTCATTATTTTGGAACATTTGACTTGTACTGCCAGCTTTGGAATTGTTTATGCGCTTGCATGTTATGTCATATAGATTTATTTCATATACATATATCAAATGAAACTAAAATATCTTGAGAAGGAAAAGAGATAAACTAAGAAAGTTATATAACCTAATTTGAAAAGGTGTATAACCTAATTCACAGTTTATAAGTTCTTTGTGCCTAAAATACATGCAGACTTAAATTTTGTTTCTGATCTATTACAGTAAAATCTCCTGTTATCTTGTCCATGCCCCTTGGCAAATATCACAGAAGACAGGACGTCGTAGACATTCAGGCAATTATGCAGAAGCTAAGAATATTTCTAAAGTACCGAACGTTCGAAATTATTCTATTTACCATGATTTGGAGAAAAAAAGATAATCACTACCAATAATTTTCAATAATTGTATTTTGCTTTTTATAGCACAGCAAGATCCTGGACCTTGTACTACGTTTGTATCCTAAATTATAGACATACTTGTTTTGTTTTGGCCATGGCCAGAAATCACGGACATTTTCATTTCTCAGGTTTCACATTACCACGAGCACCCACGCAACAATGGCTGCGCAATGCCCTATGTTTATTACATAGATATAGGAGATGTAGATTGCTAACGCATACCTAGCGCAGGCGGGGCCTATATGATAAATCCAAGATGGCGGTACAACAGGGCAAAAAGACTATAGATTCTATTACGAAAATCAGGATTTTTGCATTTTTTGCCGTCGCATTGTTTCGAAACTTATTCGGTCAAATTTTATGGTAAAGAGAAACTTACCGCAAAGATTTTGCGCATATATATGATTGAATTGGATGAAAACTCGCAAAATTATCCATCGATAAATGTTCGTGTATAGTACTGATATAGTACTATATATGTAACTTGTACAGTTTTGCTTTAATTTTTGCTCACTATTTGCATAAAAAGCAAATTATAACAGACCATAGATGATAGACCCTCATCCAGTGCTCTCATCAGTTTACTTCTCTAACAAGCAAGGGGGGGGGGGTACATAACAGTTCATTTTTCATAATTATGAGGACAGAGCAGATGATGATGAGAGATGCAAGTATAAAACACCATTCGCAAGGCTAGATGTTAACATAGCACAGTATTTCTGGCAATAAAACGCTCCAACTGACCAACTGACCATTTCACAAGCACATTTATCGCTGGATAATTTTGCGAGTTTTCATCCAATTCAATCATATATATGCTCAAAATCTTCGCGGTAAGTTTCTCTTTACCATAAAATTTGACCGAATAAGTTTCGAAACAATGCGACGGCAAAAAATGCAAAAATCCTGATTTTCGTAATAGAATCTATAGTCTTTTTGCCCTGTTGTACCGCCATCTTGGATTTATCATATAGGCCCCGCCTGCGCTAGGTATGCGTTAGCAATCTAGATCTCCTATATCTGTGGTTTATTATCAGGCGAGCGGAGTATTTTCAATATAGCATGCTATATATAAATCTTTGAATATTTGTTGAAATTGGTTCCAGAAGTAGCGGTCGTATAGTAACACATTAAGAAAAAAAGTTCTCATTTCCTTGCATACTCGCTCTGCTTTTTGCGATTGAATATTACAACATTTTACCTCACTTTACATAGGAATCTATAAAGGTTTCTCGCTCAAAAGGCTATATCTCGTAATATTTTCAATTATCGAAATTTGTTGAAATCATTTTATTTTGACGAATAGTATAGCCTTGCCTTCCACCGTTTATTATTTTGTTACACCCGATAAAAGCTCTGCTTTTTTGTTTTGAAATTCGCAAGCTGGTGCGTTAATATGCATATTATAATATTACATCGCGGTCGAAAAGTGATATTCCATTCGCTTGCCAAACTCGAAATATTGATTGCTTTGCTACATGTTTGGTACCAAAATACTCGTCGAAAGCTTCTCTTTTCGTTCCCGTAGTCATTGCTTAGCTACATCCTGAGCCTGGTAAACTAAAGGCCACAATTTGAGTGCATACTTCATGCCTTGCTTTATAAACAACACCCACGCGAATATTTGAAATTCCGGATGCTTTGATAGGTCGCAAAAGGATAATTAGGAATTCTTGTGGATAAACGGAAAAGCCGCTGACCGACTGGTACGCTTGCACAATGTCCGTCATTTCTGGCCATCGGAAGATTTCGACCATATATACTAGTCAAAATCCATACAGTCTTAATGATAGTAAGCGATATTAATACAAAATATAAACGAAGAATTTCCGCAATTACCAAACAATTATATTTCCGCATATCAAATATTAAGATCTAATAAATAACATCTACATGCATGCATATAATCATGTCCAATGATTTATTGCGATAGAATATTTAATTTGTGATCTGCAAGTTTATTTTCCTTGCCCGATATATAGTCGTGGATTAATTCAGTTTCAAGTATATGCATGTCTCTTGTGATCTATAAGCATCAGAATAATTAACATGAACACCAAAAAATTATACATAGTTATCAAAAGATATCGATTTAAGTTAAAATTTACTTCGAACGCACAGCACTATTTAATCTTCGTTTAATTTGAAACATTTCTCTAATACTGCCTCGCAGTTTTCATGTGTGTCTTGCATGTTTCGCGTACCTCGATAAAGAATTCCAATACTCATGCGTGTATAATTGCTACTTCTCACTGGAATTGTGCGGGGAGTACAGACATTCTGTCTGTAAGTATTGAAAATTTCCCGCCTTCTTTCTGAACAAAGAAAATTAAAAATAAATTACTTAAGCTTTCGATTATGTAAACACAGGATCTAGGAAACTTTATCTTATATATACCATCAGTTCAAATCGTACTCTTTTCCTTTAAAATTCCAGTAATGATCGACCTGAATATTTAATTAATATAGGATCTTGAGGATACCATAACTAAACTTTCCAAGAGCGCTTCCTCGCTGAAAAACTATCTGTACGCAAGCTGGTCAAAGGAATGAACAACATTCAGTCAATTATTTCATTATTTTGGAACATTTGACTTGTACTGCCTGCTCTGGAATTGTTTATGCGCTTGCATGTTATGTCATATAGATTTATTTCATATACATATATCAAATCAACCTAAAATATCTTGAGAAGGGAAAGAGATAAACTAAGAAAGTTATATAGCCTAATTTGAAAAGGTGTATAACCTAATTCACAGTTTATAAGTTCTTTGTGCCTAAAATACATGCAGACTTAAATTTTGTTTCTGATCTATTACAGTAAAATCTCCTGTTATCTTGTCCATGCCCCTTGGCAAATATCACAGAAGACAGGACGTGGTAGACATTCAGGCAATTATGCAGAAGCTAAAAATATTTCTAAAGTACCGAACGTTCGAAATTATTCTATTTACCATGATTTGGAGAAAAAAAGATAATCACTGCCAATAATTTTCAATAATTGTATTTTGCTTTTTATAGCACAGCAAGATCCTGGACCTTGTACTACGTTTGTATCCTAAATTATAGAGATACTTGTTTTGTTTTGGCGAAGATTTCGACCATATATACTAGTCAAAATCCATACAGTCTTAATGATAGTAAGCGATAGTAATACAAATAAACAAAGAATTTCCGCAATTACCAATTAACAATTATATTTCCGCATATCAAATAAGATCTAATAAGTAACATCTACATGCATGCATAAAATTATGTCCAAAGATTTATTGCGATAGAATATTTAACTTGGCTTCGCAGTCACGAAATCAAATGTTCGAATGTTCATTTCACGAAATTAAATTTCTTAAAATTCATGTGCGTTTGTGCTAGGACAAGATTTATGTGCCTTTTATATATGTGTGCCTTTCTGTACCTTTGAGATTGCTTTGAATGTTGTTGAGTCAACCGAACACGTATAGACTCGAACCAATATCGGTAAGAACAAAGTTTAGCACTGAAAGAACTTCGTAGAATCTTGGACGTAAATGGATGAAATTATCCCCCCCCCCCCACAAATTTTAATGATAAACTCCATGTTGGATCATGTTGCCCTTCTTAAGCGCCCACTCCTCCAACTCAATGTTGAGTTTGTGTCGCATCGATCATGGTATATTACCAACGGGGAAGCGGGAGGGGGGCAAGGTTTTTTTTTTTTAATGTTCAATAACTGTATAACATTGGCTGCAATGGTTTCAAGGGTTTTAAATTTGTCCAAGATGGTAGCTATCCATGCATGATATCCTGTATCAACACTATCTGTATATTAACTGGAAACTTAAGTTAGTTAGCTGTTGTAACGTATACACTAAATCATTAACTGCGTATTACCCATGCTGGAACTCTGAGAAACACTGATAGAGTAATCAAGTATAAATGAAGTTAGTCCAGTTTAATTTAGTGTCACCTTACGCTGGATTTCGACAATGGACAGTTTAATAACTGACTATTGCTGGAAAAATTCCAAAACGAAATAATATCACGCATGTTGACAAATTGCGTGTTTCACTGTAGTTATTATGTATTTGTATTTACTCAATCTACATATTCGAACATTGTTACAGTATTATAGTGGCCATTTGTGTTTCTGAACCATGATATATGCACTTGACCATTGAACGTTCTGGAACATGAAGGATTAGTCTCTTAGTCTGTCCTGAACATACATAGAATGGTAAGGTCCAGATGCATATTTATAATCTTGAGTAAATTTATTCCGACCGCACGTACAAGGATCTCGTAACTCTAAAATTCCCCACTTCTTTGACAGCAGAGAAAAAACTGTCTGATCATGTCTATTACCTTGGAAACCCTCCATATTCGGTTTACCCATGACGTTTTCGTCATCACTTATGATTCTGCGATCAGCCGAATACGCCAGATATTCCATTACAAATTGTATAGTTGTACAGGACTTCATATATACTTGCAATGCAGCCGTTCTTTGAGTCTGCTTCTTTTCATATGCTTGAGGTTCGTCCATTCCCATTAGTATAAATGCGTCTCGTTTGGTAAATAAACGCTCTTGGTATGGCTGGCGGAATGTGAGCACATTGGGCTTCGCGTCCATGCATAATTTAAAAAGAGGACCTATGTCGTTTATCAAATATGCCCCTGCGTCGTGGTAAACAAGTAGATCTCCGTCGTTCAATTTCGTCAATAAGGTTTTGAGAATAATATAGGATTTCCACAACCAATATCCGGCCCCTTTTCTGTGTCTCAAAAGGTTATGATGAGAGATCTGGAAAGGCACAGATAGATGAGACAAATCTACAGCTTCAGCATAGTCTAATTTGCCAACATCGATTCCTTGATTGACTGCTCTTTTTTTCGACAGCTCGCAACAGTTTTGGCCGTACGTCAATAAATATTTCCTCTCCGGTATAGTACTTGCTGACACGTTATACCTCAGAAGTTTTCGTCGCGTTTCCGCTGAGTCTCCTTGCTGCCACGGATGATTCCAGTGAAGATTCGTTTTCGTAAGAACATCTAAATCGACTCTCTCTCGAAATTTCCACCTCGTGTGGTTTATTTCGTAGGGAAGTTTTATCTTTTCACCATCCAGCATCGCTCGAGCTATCTCGTACAGTTTAGGGCATTTTCTCTCGTCGTTGGTTGTATCCACATGAAGTCGAGATTCAGGAAAATAATCTGCTTTTCGTGAGTAGGTAGTTGGCTTCTTAGGAAAGCTGCGGCCAATGTCCGACTTGTGATAAGGATTCTTACACTTAGAGTTATGATGTAGTACCTTCCTAGAAGTTCTTTTGCACGATTTCAATTTATGTTGAATAATGAAAGATATCAAAAAGGAATTCATTGCAAGGAATAAAAATATCAAAAGCTTTTTTGGCCTAAATCTCATCATGTGTGCAATGTACTGATCACAAATTGTGGACGCAGTTGTTCTTGATAGCTGATGATTGAGATCTGTTTTTTGTAATGTATTGAACATCCTAAATTAAACAATAAGAATACGGATTTAGTTAATTAAAAGTTGCTAAGTAGGCCTACAATTGGCTCTCCAGATAAGATCTCACTCGATCGAACAGTGAGATTCTACGTACGTTTCGAATTCATAATTATAAGGCGGCTTTTGTGGGCTTATCTTATTCCGATAATGAGTCCAAACTACCACCAGTGTTCCTATATATATGTACAGAAAGGTAAGGGAAATGGTTTCTATTTGTTTTAAAATATAACTCACGAAAGGGTTTTGCAGCCATTTTTATATCGATCAATTTACAAATTCTCTATACCTAAGGAAAAATCTACACGAAACATTATTTTCCACCATTCTACTCTCGAGTACTAAAAACGGATCATTCAGACGAACTAATCACGTAGCTGGTCTTTCCAGGTTAATTTTCTTGCCTAACATGCATTAGAGGAGGATCTCTCTGCCAGCTTAACACGGCAAAAGAATGAAAAACTCTCGAGTGGCACGAGATGATGGTCAGGCATGGTTTGTTACCAGCAATAACTTAACAAACCGCTGCACAATACTGATATGAGAACCGCTCTGTAATTGCCATAATTAGAACTTACTGTTCTGGCCAGCTGTCCCCACCTTATTCATATTAGTCTGCGTGGCAGAAGCTTTTCTCTGTGGATTGGCTATGAATTTTGGATACCGCCCCCTTTCATGTATTAATTAAATTCACAGCTAATAATAAATATCCATTACTTATGTAGACAACTCGTAGATATTTCATCCTGGCCAAAAGAATTAAAACTTCTTTTCCAACAAGAAATTTTCTAACACACGACCTCTCCTTAGGGTCTCAGAATTAATATATGGCGTCTCGAACTAGAAGCTTTTAATTTGCAAACCGTTGTTATTGCGTGATAGTATATGACATTAACGCATATTTCCTCTTGATTGACAGTAGCAAAAATAGTACAACCAAGCACCAATTCCCGTTCACTGGTGGACTAGCTAGGAATTCAAGTATACAGAACCAAACGCGGCATGGGTTGGAATAAACTAACACGGCGAATTCCAGCTGGAATTTCAGCAGCTTGTCGAGAATGCATTATAATTTCATTTTAGTTAGTACATGCAAGGTCATAGAGAATTGTGTTGGGTTTTTTTCTCCCCGTAGTAAAATATCTGCACGGTGGGTGCTGATTTCTGGATGAAAACAGCATGAATGCAACATAATATTATAAGAAATGCGCAGAGCTAGTGCTGCCTTACCCGCGATAAATATTTTCCGGAATTACCGGAAACCCCAACGCACAACAACAAGTTATTACAACAGGCCTAGGTATTACAAGAAGGTATTACGAATGTAATAATCAATATTAAAATACATGTAGTTATGCAAGGCAGAGGCTTTGGGGCAAATAATTGCTTCAGGTGTGAACCGTGCTGAATAGTCAAATTAGCGAGCTAAAAAATTCATTGACCGATGACAAATAGTGACAAAGCAAATAGTGACTTTAAAGAAAAATTTCTTTACCCTAATCTCTATAAATGTTTAAGACGTTTACTATTAGATGTACACCCAGGCTCTAAATAGTTACATTAATGAAATATTGGCTAGATGTTTATTTGCCCTAATCACTAATAATGTTTTTAAACATTAAAACTTAGAAGTTGCATGTTAACTGTTAAAAGCATCCCCAGGCTCTGCTCTCAACTGGAGTACATTATAGGACAAATTAAGAGCTTTAGAAAATCAAAAGCATGGCTACTATTAATGCTGACCCTAGTTATCACTTTCAAAATGTTTGGTAAAAATTGGCGAAAAGATACGGTAGTCTCAGTTCAGGACGGAATCACAGAAACCACATGTGTTCGGTAAACGGTAATGTTTTTGTTGCATGCCACATATGGCATGCAACTTTCATATAGCTCTAAATTTCGTGGGTTAGGATAAAACGCGGATACGGACGGACGGACGGATGGATGGCGGACGGACGGACGGACGGATGAATGGCGGACGGACGGACGGACGGTCGCATGGCTTCCAAAAAACGTTTTCCAGCCTTTTTTAAGTCATATCCGCGTTTTATCCAAAAGGATAAAACGCGGATATGGTCCAAAAAACTTTTTCAGCCCTTTTTCAGTCATATCCGCGTTTTATCCAAAAGGATGAAACGCGGATATGGTCCAAAAAACGTTTTTCAGCCCTTTTTCAGTCATATCCGCGTTTTATCCAAAAGGATAAAACGCGGATATGGTCCAAAAAACGTTTTTCAGCCTTTTTTAAGTCATATCCGTGTTTTATCCAAAAGGATAAAACGCGGATATGGTCCAAAAAACGTTTTCCAGCCTTTTTTAAGTCATATCCGCGTTTTATCCCGAAAAGGATAAAACGCGGATATGGTCCAAAAAACGTTTTTCAGCCCTTTTTCAGTCATATCCGCGTTTTATCCAAAAGGATAAAACGCGGATATGGTCCAAAAAACGTTTTCCCAGCATTTTTAAGCCATATCCGCGTTTTATCCAAAAGGGTATCCAAAAGGATAAAACGCGGATATGGTTCAAAAAACGTTTTTCAGCCTTCTTTAAGCGATATCCGCGTTTTATCCAAAGAGGGCATATCGATATGTATAAAGAATATTGAATATTGTCCTAGAATTTGAACAAATAAAAACCAATAATATGTCTCTTCGCTTAAATACTTAGTGCGAGAGAAGAGTTCTAAAATTACAATTTAGTGTTAATAAAGTTTTAATTCAGTGTCAGTTATCTGGTATGTAGCACTCCAATTTTATGCCAACGTAATGTGCTGCTTTTTAAAGGCTTCGATGTCATTGCAGTTATCGGTTTAAATATACCTACAATTCGAAGATATGACAATTGCCATACGGCCTACTTTCTATACGTAAACGCAAATTACAATTGCAACGTTCATCCTTAATTTTCTCTGTTATCTGGGCATGTAGTAATGTAATTTTATGCCACTGCAATGTGCTAATTTTCAAGGGCTTTTCAATGCAGTTATCGGTTTAAATATACCTAAATTTCCCGTTAAGATATGACAATTGCCGTACGGCCTACTTTTACGCGAACGCAAATTACAACTGCAACTTTCATGCTTAATTTCTTCTGTTATCTGGGCATGTAGTAATGTAATTTTATGCCAATGTAAGGTGCTATTTTGCTAGGGCTTTTCAGTACAGTTATCGGTTTAAATATACCTCGAATTTCCGTTAAGATATGACAATTGCCGTACGGCCTACTTTTACGCAAACGCAAATTGACAACTGCAACATTCATGCTTAATTTTTTCTGTTATCTGGGCATGTAGTAATGTATTTTCATGGCAATAAAAGGTGCTATTTTGCTAGGGCTTTTCAATGCAGTTATCGGTTTAAATATACCTAAAATTGCCGTTAAGATATGACAATTGCCATACGGCCTACTTTTACGCAAACGCAAATTGACAACTGCAACATTCATGTTTAATTTCTTCTGTTATCTGGGCATGTAGTAATGTAATTTTATGCCAATGTAAGGTGCTATTTTGCTAGGGCTTTTCAATGCAGTTATTGGTTTAAATATACCTAAAATTCCCGTTAAGATATGACAATTGCCGTACGGCCTACTTTTACGCAAACGCAAATTGACAACTGCAACATTCATGCTTAATTTTCTCTGTTATCTGGGCATGTAGTAATGTAATTTTATGCCAAAGCAACGTGCTGTTTTTCAAGGGCTTTTCAATGCAGTTATCGGTTTAAATATACCTCAAATTCCCGTTAAGATATGACAATTGCCGTACGGCCTACTTTTACGCAAACGCGAATTACAATTGCCACTTTCATGCTTAATTTTCTGTTATCCGGTCGTGTACTTTATGCCACTTTGGCAACACAGAAAATTAACTCTCTTTCGTTTGGCGCCGAAAAATAAACCAGGTCATGAAACCGACCTTGTATTTTGCAGGTTCTTATCTTCGGTTCAGTGCATGTTATGTAGCAAATCCAATTGGAGCAAAGTCAAATTGAACATGTTCAAGGATTAAAGCATACTGGTCGACACAAATTCCCTTGAATTGAACTATACGTTCACATGATGTAGTTTGAAAGAAGCCTCGCTTCTTTGACTAACGATTCGGTCTCCCCTCAGTCATGGCTGGAGTCTACCAGCTTCTTGACAACGAATGTTCTATCGTTCTCGGGCAACTTTGTTGTAAAGACAGTTGTTCGGTAATTTAAAGAGAATCGTATTTCCGCCTGCCGCATGATTATTGCAAAATTGTAATTTTAGAACTCTTATCTCGCAGTTGCAATTTGCGTTTGCGTAAAAGTAGCCCATACGGCAATTGTCATATCTTAACGAGAATTTTAGGTATATTTAAATCGATAACTGCATTGAAAAGCCCTTGAAAAATAGCACCTTACATTGGCATAAAATTACATTACTACATGCCCAGATAACAGAGAAAATTAAGCATGAAAGTTGCAGTTGTAATTTGCGTTTGCGCGTAAAAGTAGGCCGTACGGCAATTGTCATATCTTAACGGCAATTTAAGGTATATTTAAACCGATAACTGTACTGAAAAGCCCTAGCAAAATGGCACCTTACATTGGCATAAAATTACATTACTACCTGCCCAGATAACAGAAGAAATTAAGCATCAAAGTTGCAGTTGTAATTTGCGTTCGCGTAAAAGTAGGCCGTACGGCAATTGTCATATCGATCTTAACGGCAATTTAAGGTATATTTAAACCGATAACTGTACTGAAAAGCCCTAGCAAAATAGCACCTTACATTGCCATGAAATTACATTACTACATGCCCAGATAACAGAAGAAATTAAGCATGAAAGTTGCAGTTGTAATTTGCGTTCGCGTAAAAGTAGGCCGTACGGCAATTGTCATATCTTAACGGGAATTTTAGGTATATTTAAACCGATAACTGCATTGACATCAAAGCCTTTGAAAAGCAGCACATTACGTTGGCATAAAATTGGAGTACTACATACCAGATAACTGACTCTGAATTAAAACTTTATTAACACTAAATTGTAATTTTAGAACTCTTCTCTCGCAGTAAGTATTTAATTAAGCGAAGAGACATATTATTGGTTTTTATTTGTTCAAATTCTAGGACAATATTCAATATTCTTTATACATATCGATATGGATAAAACGCGGATATCGCTTAAAAAAGGCTGAAAAACGTTTTTTGAACCATATCCGCGTTTTATCCTTTTGGATACCCTTTTGGATAAAACGCGGATATGGCTTAAAAATGCTGGGAAAACGTTTTTTGGACCATATCCGCGTTTTATCCTTTTGGATAAAACGCGGATATGACTGAAAAAAGGCTGAAAAAGTTTTTTGGACCATATCCGCGTTTTATCCTTTTGGATAAAACGCGGATATGACTTAAAAAAGGCTGGAAAACGTTTTTTGGACCATATCCGCGTTTTATCCTTTTGGATAAAACGCGGATATGACTTAAAAAAGGCTGAAAAACGTTTTTGGACCATATCCGCGTTTTATCCTTTTGGATAAAACGCGGATATGACTTAAAAAAGGCTGAAAAACGTTTTTTGGACCATATCCGCGTTTTATCCTTTTGGATAAAACGCGGATATGACTTAAAAAAGGCTGAAAAAGTTTTTTGGACCATATCCGCGTTTTATCCTTTTGGATAAAACGCGGATATGACTGAAAAAGGGCTGAAAAACGTTTTTTGGATCATATCCGCGTTTTATCCTTTTGGATAAAACGCGGATATGACTTAAAAAAGGCTGGAAAACGTTTTTTGGACCATATCCGCGTTTTATCCTTTTGGATAAAACGCGGATATGACTTAAAAAAGGCTGAAAAACGTTTTTTGGAAGCCATCCGTCCGTCCGTCCGTCCGCCACTCGTCCGTCCGTCCGTCCGCCATCCATCCGTCCGTCCGTATCCGCGTTTTATCCTAACCCGGCCCTTCAGTAACGATACGAAGTAAGCTGTTGAGACGATGTTCTTTGAGTGATGCCCTGGTGTCAGTTTTCACACGTTTCATTAATGAAAAGAACGCCTCCACTTTAGCGTTAGACACCGGAAGAACGAATAACAGCTCAATAAGAGTTAAAATAGCATTCCACTCCTTAGATCTGCTACAGTTAAATAGCTGATGCCACACAACCCTGTAGTCAACTCTTTCCGGGGACAAGTAAGCAAGCGCGTGCTCTAAAAGGTTGTGCCATTGGTCGAGAAGCTCTCCAACTGTTCCGCTAAAACATGCTCTTTCCAAGGGTATGCGATATCTCTCATAGAGTCTCTCCACATCTTGATCGAAGATCTCAACAGCATCATCTTTCGCTTTCACCCAGCCAGCCGTGTTAAGAAGTGCGGCTAATTCGCCTCTTTCGTCCTCAGGATCTTCTTCGAGGCGTTGTTCAATTGCATTTTTGACACGCTCTATGAGGTCGTCTTTCACTTTCGCAGTTGTCTCAACCGCTCTTTCGTATCCTCGGATTACAACGTCGTGAAGGAGATACTTTCCATCTCGCTCTTGAATTTTCTGGAGCAACCTTTTAACCGTCGGCAGCTCCTTTAGCTCCTTTCGAGAAATTCGATGTAACTGGCGTTTGGTTTTCTCAACGTTTTCGATGCTTGCAACCACATCAATGTCCTCGCCTGGAAAGATTTGGACAGACATTTTGCCGGTGCTAAGGTATCTTGGCTTTTGACCATTTTTTTAGCCAATCTTTACATTTGGCACGATCGTCTGCAGGGAAACTGTTGTCTTCTGATATATTCTCCAAATGTTGAAGATATATGCCATATTTGTCCAAAATAACGTCCAGAGCAGCAACTTTGTGTGCAATCCAGCGTGTGCCTGCAAGAAAAAATTCATACATTATAACATATCATACAAATTACTGTAAAACTGAATTACTGATAAAAATCTTGAATGATGTTGGCTTTCTTATATTGGAGTATAACATAACTTGTCAAAAATAACTGAAAGATTACTGTAATATACCTGATGCTTTCTTGGGACGGTAACCGCCTGTTTCAAACTCGTCACCCTCATCGTATATATCTACAAGCAGTTTAAGTTGCCTTAATTTTTTCGGTGCTTGCTTATACAGATAGTGCATACGCAAAATCACCTCATCAATTTCGTCGAACACGGTCCCTTGCAAACTATCCTTCAGTGACAATTCAAGGCGGTGTGCAACGCACCAACCAAAATTCAACCATGGGTTTTCTCTTCTTAAAATTGCCTTTACACCTTCTTTGTTACCTTTATTCACATTTGCCCCATCGGCTCCAAAACCAACTAATTTCTGAAATAAATCATCAATTGACACTGCTTTGAAGCTTTCTTTAATACTTTCTACTATCCCGGTTGCTCCAGCAGTTTGTAGGAAGTTAAGCTTGAGGAAACTTGCAACAACTTTGACTTTGTCACATCCCGGAGGATCCGGATCGAAATGAACCACAAACACAGCTTCATTTTCAGACGTAGCCGCATCAGTAGAGCCATCTGTTAAGACACTGTAAAAGTGAACTTTAGCTAGTTTCTGTTTTAATTCCTCCGCAATACTCTCACTTATGTAATCCATAAACACTCCCCCAGAGTTGTTGTTACGGTATGCTGTACCAATATCAACTCCAAGTCTCTCTTCAAGGTCCAACATTGTACTATACTTCACAATAGGCAGCTCCTCTTTCGCGATGTAGTATGCGATTTGAAATTTCTTCTTCGTTCTTTCTAAGTCTTGTTCATTAAGTGTCGCGAGGGTAGACAAAAAGCTTCCTTGCTTTTGCGAGTCAAGGACACCCTGCATGGCTTTAGAACGCTCTGATACGTTCATACCTTTTTGTTTCATAACCAGAATCATTGCCTGTTTATGGGGTTCACTGGTGACATGATCTGTTGCGCTTGACAACATAAGTCGCGTGCATCCTTCATCCGATGACCACTGTGGAGAAAAACCCTTGACACCTGAAATTTGTGTATAATATCTTGTACATGCACTGCATTTCAATGCTTTTACTTGGTTTGCACCAGTGTCTTTTAAAAAAAGCAGCCAGTCCTCTGCATTATATACTGCTAGTTGCGTGGTTTTCCATTTTTCTGCGGTTGATACGTGCAAAACTCTCTTGCTAACCTTGGCAGCGGTTGCAGGTTTTTCAGTCGTGCAGACGTCCTTTGAACTTATGGCTGCCTCACCAAAATAGGAGGAAATATCAATTTGTTTCCTTTTGCTCATATCTCATTAAGACATTATGTCATAACTTTGTCTGTCTTTCCAGAATCAGAAACTAGTTTAAATTATCACAATTGATCTTAATTAAAGTACCTGAAAAAACCCCCAAAACTCACATAAGTCTAATAAGCATTATAATATTACACTAGCGTATAACTTAGTATAGATCCTACGTCTACGACTTCTAAAGCGGGCAAAATAACCATTAACCAATCTTTTACTATTATTTAGTCACAAACTGAAACAATTTCTACAAAGTATTTAAGGTGACCTAACATAATCATTGAACGATAAACCCAATCTTGATACAGATACTAATAGATAACTTTGTAAGTCAGTAATGACGGCCATCTTGATATACAATACTAATGTAATGACTGCCATCAATATATACAATGCTAATAGTGTGACGACATTTACTGTAATACGTAGTTTAGTTTATTATAACACTTTTCAAGTTTTATTGTTTTAATTATAGTTATTGCATTTTTAACACAAAAGCGAAAAAAACACTGTCACAGCACTGAGCAGCACTATCAATCAAGAACTAAAACTTATAATTTAATATTAATAATACAAAATCCTACTCAAAAAATATAAAAATTCCTACTCACCTGCATCATTTATATCATAACAAAAACGTTCGCGGTCAGCGGTTCGTATTGCAGACTGTTGAAGAGACGACAATACTTCATACAGATTTGTTTTATAGTAAATTACTTTAGCGAGAATAGTATTGCCGCCTCTCCTGTCGTATCAACTAAACAAGAGTTTTCGCGTGTTTTTGAATGTGTTTTATATTACTTTTATTTGCCTTCTGCCGCATACAGGTAAGCATGTCTTTCAGACAATGGTCAAATATATTTCTTGCCGATCAAGATGAACGGCAACCTTGCTTCTTCGCCGATCAAAAACAATTTCCTGCCGATCTTTGATCGTTGATCGGCCGTTATTTCGAGCCCTGTAATTCTGAATGCATTTTATAGCCTGGTCGTTGACCAGGGCCGAAATACATGCTAATATCTAATAAATTGAGTGTGAAAGTGCCTTTCTGACAATTTTTGTACAACTTACTTACTAAGTACTTCCGCACAAATAGTGTTCAGGCCCATCTACACAATACGACTAGTCATACACGATTCTTATCCTGTAGATGGGCCTTTACAGTACAGCCATTATGCGTGAATCAATTCCTTCTGTTACCATCCTCCCCCCGGGCAACCCCCGGGACAATGCAAAAAAACTAATCCCGGGGGTAGGGAATTGTTTGAATAATTTTGTCCTGGGGGTTACCCCCGGGTAAAAAGCAAAGAACCAAACAAAAAATGCCAGTGGTCAACCTAATAAGTCAATCTCATACTTAGGACTTTGTTTGGTTGCGCATCAAAATGGCGGCTATAAACTCTTTTGCTGGAATGTCCTGCGAATTTGCGAAGTAGGAGCAATATAAATAGAAAATGTATTTCACTATCATGCAGTCTGCTAAATTCTTGTACGTAGAATTTTAATGAACATATTAAATTCTGTACTATCGTTAAAAATAACATTTTGTATAATTTTTTACGCATTTCAACGCCTTATAGACGTTATATGTGTGTTCCGCCAAGGGTTTCAGTTACTAATTTTGCGTTTATTGATGTCATGCCCCGGGGTGGGGAATTGTTCATTTTGAAAGGCCCGGGGGTGGGGAATTTACTACATGTTTAGGAAAAAAGTACAAATCCCGGGGATATTGCCCGGGGGGGGGGGCTAACAGCTGGAATTGATCGATGCATTAGTGTTAATTTGAGCTTGTATTTTGAATGCTTTGTTACACAAGTCTAACCAGGGCCGGAACTACAGGGGGAGGGGTGAAATTTTATCAGTCGCCAGGACTGCCATCTTGGTCGGCAAAAGTATGCAGGGGGGTCAGTCGGTTGAAATGACCTTAAATTAAACCCCCCTGGGAAAAAACTTTTGGGGGGATGACCCTGAGTCAAACTAGTGCATTCATTGTAAACATTATTTAAGTTATCGCTGTTAAACTATTTATCATTGCAAAAATGATGGACTGGCTTGCCTTGCTGAATTTCATCATTTTTGCAATGATGTCAATGATAAACAGTTTAATAGTAATAATTTAATGTTTACAATATAAACATTTGAAAATCATTGGAGGTACCTACCTTGAAAACCTGTCAAGCTGCATAGAAGTCCAATGAGATGGATTTGGTCAAAATAAAATACTGATTACTGGTTAACTGGTATAAATACTATAATTTTTAAGCCGCAAAAAATGCTTAGAATATTGTGGGGGTTTTCTAACCAAAATTGCATAGAGAATTTTGATTAATTATCTTTTTACCTTATTTAACAGATTAGTATTTACAGTATATAAATTAATAAAATTATTAAATATACTGACAGTGACAGACTCCATCCAAACATTCCAACTGTTCACTCTCTTTGCGTTTAAAAATATGCAGAATATAATGCCTTCAAACGTGATTTGCTTAAGTTAATTGATGTCTGTTAGTTTAAGTTTGAAGGTCGCAGAGTTTCCACAGAAAGAGACGATATTTGACCGAATAATTGCAGAATTTTTAGTCAAAATAGCCGCCATCTTGAATATATTTAGTACCGGGTAATTGATCTCGGAACTTGTTACCCGCGCCTCGGAACTTTTTACTCGCGCCTCGGAACTTTTTACCCGCGCCATGTTCGCTGGACCCGCGCCATTTTTGCTGGACCCGCGCCATGATCTATTGACTCGCGACCCGCGCCATTTAGACTATCCCGTCTATGACGCTACGGCTATTAGTAATCCGACAAAAATTTACTACGTTTCTGGTATTGAAACTAGATTGTGTTCACACTATAACGGAGTGGTTTGCCGTAGCGTATTAACTACGCACCACTACAGTTTCCACTCTGGCTGCAAATCACTACACTACGGTATTAAAATTGCCGTAGCGTCATAGTGTAAACGCGACCTTGGCTTAGTATCAGTTTTCACATGCGAAATTTATCTTTGTATTTGCATGTTTTACTTTGCAACATAACAGTATTTATTCGGCTACAACGAATATAATCTTTGTGGCCGATTACCACAATGTTTTAAATGTTTCTGATACTAGTGTATTAAAAGTCGTTGTGTGATTCTGTGAACATGTCGAGTGTTGTTTATAGCAGAGTAGTTAAATTAAAAACCTTTGTTTAATGCAGACATTAGCATCAATGATAAGACTTGGCATCACCAAAGTCTAAATGTTTTGCTATAATTTTTGATATTTGCCATGTCCATGATACTGTGGATTTCGATCTAGCGTTTCAGCCGTTTAATTTACGTATATTCACTCCATCAAAGGCGGCCATTTTGAATTTGAATATGATCAATATATCCATCCAGTTACATTTTTTTACGGTTTTGCAAAATATAGAGATCAAAATGACACACGTGATGCTGATCGCTGTCGCTGATTGGCTCCAGGCTAACACACGGTCTGCACGATGGCAATGTATCTGCGCTAGCGCAGATACAATCTAGCGCAGATACAAAAATATGTAGTCAGCTACAACTACTGCTATTTTTGAACAATGGTAGTTCGCTACTGACTACAGCTACTGCTTAAAAAATGTAGCGAACTATTTCGCTATTTCGTTACTCTATATTTTTTAGTTTTACGGTATTTGGAGCATCCACTAGCTCAGGCTGTAATATAACCTATAACAAATCGACTTACGAGTAGCAACAGTAAACAAAAAGGGTCAAAGCAACATTTTTATAAGCACTACAGTGTTCAGGAGTGCCACTTTTCATTGCGCTAAAATAACCTTTACTGTATAAAATAATCTTTTAAGCAAACCGTGTCTTATCATCATTCTATTCTATGAACGGTTGCTAACAATTTTAAAAAGTAGCGAATAGCGATTCACTGTTTGAAAAGTAGTCAACTATTTGGCTACTTTTAGGCAAAATGTAGTTCGCTACAACTACAACTACTGTTTTAAAAAAGTAGTCAAAAACTACTGGCTACTTGAAAATTGTAGTTCGCTACAGTAGCGAACTACAGTAGCTACAGTAACTCATTAAGGTGTGTCAAATTGATAGTATAGTGACGAAGTGATAGCCGGAGACCGAATTTGTTGAAACGGCTGTAGCTAAATAAAAATCGTCCATCGTCCAATGAAACCTGGACGATGGACGTCCATCGTCCATCGTCCAATAAAACCTGGAGGATGGACGTCTATCGTCCAGTCCATCGTCCAGGTTTTAGTTAGCCTGCGTAGCAGGCGTTTAGCTGACGGGCGGGTACAGAGGGAACGCCTGCCCAAATTGGCTATGACAAATTTGTTTTCGCCCATTAAGGATGATTAACGTTTTGTAATTAGCACCTTCACCACCCATTATCCAATCATAGTCGAGATTTATATTTAGCATCATGCATGCTTTTTGCTCGGCAACTAGGAGATTTGCAGAGATTTTATGCCCTATTTAAAACACGAACAGCAGTGTTTTATCAGATATAAAAATGGTCTGATAAAACACGCACCGCGAATGTTTTAAATTGCTTCAAAAACGATCGATCTAGTATACGTTCATTGGCGAAGTAGCTTTCAAAAAATTCGGTGTGTATATGTAGAGAAAATCATTAAAATTTATGTCAATCAAGGGAAATCTCTATCACATATCAAGGGTACGACACGTTTATGATTTTTCTTTGTGTTTTCCTCATGAATTATTAATGAGTTTTTGAAGCTATTTTAGACAACAGTCAGTCACAACGTGCACAGAGCTTTTATCTTTTAAAAGACTCCTGAACCACGGTTGTTTAACGTATTCTGCCGTATAGCAACTGTAACATTTGAGCATGTTTTGAAATGTTATTCTTAAAATCACCATTCAACCTCATAGCTGCAATGCCAAGTGATATAGCCTCAACTATCTGGTCTTGAATTATACTTTAAAGTGAACAAATAACAAGACAACTATATTAAAGAAATATTCAGAATATATTTAAAAT